CAGCATAGCCATCCTGTCAGCCTACACATATTTCAGTCTCTCTTTAACTACCCTCTTGTGGTATCTCTGAAGAACAACAGCTTTTTCTAACGGACTAAAATAAATCCAGTTCTTGGCTGTTCTAGTATTAACTGAGACAAGACTATCCTTTTGGAGGGCAAGTAGCTGGTGGTTGTTGTAGAGGTTTGACTTGTTTTATCAAATGAGCTCCAAATGCATCATGTTTGTCCCAAATACGCCCAGGCCCTTGAAAAACAGGGACCACTGAAAATCCCAGAAAGTTTATACTTGCATTTTTAGTTATCTTTAAAAGAAAGAAAAAAAATTTCATTTCCAAGCATTTGATGCTAATGCAATCTCTGCTGCATCAACACCCCCCACCCCTCCCTGGATTCAACAGAAACTAGTTAAGGGCTTTGAAGATGCAAAGCAGAAGACTCATTTCATCAACATACAGTAATATTGTATCTTTGATAGGTAAAACCTCTATTTAATCAATTGATTAAGTTCTCGCTTAATTATTTTTCTTGTCTTGAAACAAAGGTGATTGTACTGGGGATGGATATCTAGGTTCCTAGGACTAAGTGCAAATTTTTCAGTAGAGAAACATATCATAAATTCAAACAAGAAAAATACTACACTCTGAGTGAGTTTCAATACTGAGCAGTAGTGAAAAAAGTGAAAATAGTTAAATGATTAAACGAGCCGCACTGGGTGGTAAAATACAGCGTATCTGCCCTCAATAACCAGGAGGACTAGAGGCCTCATCAACTTGGGTCAATACTTGAAGTACTTGAATTATCAGTGAGTAAACCCATTCTTTCATGGAGATAGTTTTAACAAATCTAGGACCCCAGTAAGTTGTTAACATGGATTAAGGTTTAAAGTGTTTTCTAAAGACAAAACAGCAACCCAGAAATTCCTCATCTCTTACTACCACTGACTCTGCCATTTACCCAATTTGGTGGGTTTTTTGTTCTCATGGTGCAATAACCTAATTCCCCTGGGCGACTTGTGGGGTGACTCAGGGAGGAGGTGGCTGCTGTTGCACTCTGAGTTTTGTGTTTCCAGCTGCACTTTTCCCATTAATAAAATGGCGATAATGGTACGGTGAAGTCCATATTACCAGACCAGCAGAGGAACCATCGTCATCTATAGGAGAGGCCTCAGCAGAAGGCAGCAAAAGGCCGTGTGAGATTGTAGAGTGCCAACAGGATTTCATACTCTGTTCCTTGCTGGAGAGGGCTTTCTGCCTGCGATACTGTGCCTGACATTGTGTGAGCATTTTGATGTGTATAATTACCCGTGTTTCTACATGCAGACAAACAGCGCACAAACGAGGAGGGGGATATTCTCTATGACCAGGAAACGTCTTTGTGTTAAAATGATTTTAGTTACAAGATACCTGTGGAAAAAGAAAGGTGTGTCACACACAGTCACACACCTGGCAGAAAGGGACCATGCTGGAAACTGCCAACTCCACAATAAGCACTTGGAGACATCACCACCTGGGAACCTCCATCTTGCCCATGGCCACAAGCTGTCTAAGCCCCTCCAGATGGGGACAGGGCACAGGGAGAACAGTCTGCCCTCACCTGCAGCTTTTGTTTCTTCTTGGCTAGCCAAAATCTGGAGTCTTTTACAGTGGTTACCGTGGCTAATTCACCAAGGCCTTCATTTTTCAGTCCAGTCTCTAGAACTACCAAAGGTTTTTTTGTATTATAGCACTGAGGAATGCTCACTTGCCCCAAGGGCACCAAGCAATCACATAGGAGGAGGCAGACTGCGTCCCAAAGAGCTTCACATAGAACATGGCTGGGATGGGTACAGTGCAAAGGAAGGAAGGAAGATCTGATGAGATCAAAATCAACACGGGAGGAGATAGTCCCACCACTCATTTGCACATACTTCTCTGAACCAGCTAAGTTAGAGGTTAGTCTCCATCTGGAGTTAAGGAAGAGTCACCTTCAAAAGGCAATTCAGACCATTCAAGTTGGGATCCCGCTCCAAATCGCCTCCTGAAGCTCTGGATGAGCAATGTCTCCAAAGATGGCAGTTGGAGTCCAAAGCAGCATGTTGGTTTATCCAGGTGAGACTTAACCGAGCCACTGTGGGCGTAACAAAACCTTGTATAAGGTGAGTCTTTGGTCACTGTTTGAACCACAGCTCGCTCTTCTTTCTTGCCAGACACAAAAGCAGTAAGTAAAGCAGCTCCTCTGTAAATGGAATATAACCAATGTCTGTTACCTTGTTCCAGTGCCCCAGGTGGCTTTCAGCAGAGGTCACCTGCACACGTGAAACAGCAGTTAAGAGTTCAAATTATCAAGAATCATGCTAAAAATTTTACTTAACAAGGCACCGCCACAGCAAATGAAAATACTTTTCAGTAAAATCCTCCCCAACCTCCATCAGCCTATCCTCCAGCCCAGCAAGCACTATGCATTTTCATGAGCTCATACAGGGAAAAGGTAAAAAGGAACAAAAACACACAGTGTCTATGGCTCTTGAAAAAATTGTCTGCAATGTCTGTTGCTGCTTGTAGTAGATTTAGCTGTCATAAACCATGACAGAGAACATGACTGGCAAAAAAGCAAGAGCATCAGTAAAATACAAACAGCAGAAAACCAGATTAGAGCTAGGTATTTAGTAAGGAAAGACAAAGATAATATAGAAGGTTAAAAAAGAAGGGATAAAGCACAGCAGACAATGAACATTGTATCAGGGAGCAAATGCTATGACTTCTGTCCAAGAATCGCTTCCCATACCCTGCTTTAGTTGGCATCTCAAGGGATTGGAAGCCGCTAAGCAGAAAACTAGCTGGAGGGTGGGAAGGTGGGAGCTTTAAAGCATAAAGTAAAGGTCCGGGGTGTTGTAACCAAATAGCTCAGGGTTTTGTATGATCCAAATCTCTCACATCCTACAGAGTAATACCTTTAGGATGCCTGTCATCCCTACCGGTGGTATTTGGCACGGTCTTTAAATCAACTTCATTTCTTAAAAGCTCGTGATTCAAAACCAGAACATTTAAGACAAATATTTTGAATGCTAAAAAGATTAAATTGTCTATACCTGCAAGCTAATGTCCCTATATCAAACTTTTGCGAAGCAATGAATGCATCTGAAAAAGTTTTAAAGCAGTTAAAAGTCTTGTTTCATCTCTTACTGTACCTTTCAGGCATATTTCTCCGAGTATCACCGCTCTTATGAGCCGACACCCGGATCTTCAGAGGCGTTAGAGCCACTTAAATTGTATTGAATTCAAAGGGAATGCCTCAGTTATGAGCCGACACCCGGATCTTCAGAGGCGTTAGAGCCACTTAAATTGTATTGAATTCAAAGGGAGCGAAATGCCTCAGCGCTTTCTGGGGCTGTGGGAGTGAGGGTTCACTGGCTTCACTGGGAATTCAGGACCATCAGCAGCTCAGCACCTGGGAGGACAAGGAGCAGGGTCTGTAGAGAGACCACATCTCCCCCCGCAGACACCAGGAAAGCTGTTATCACTCCTGTAACAGCGCTCTGCGATGAGCCTGGAAGATGATGCTCTCATTAGACCCTCTCTCACGGGACCCCTCTGCACAAGTTTGCTTCGATAGTTTTCATCCTTCTACAGCCACCTATAGCCCGTTTCCTTCAGAAACTTGGAAGCTGCTTAATGATGTGCATCCAGAAGACCGAGATACGGCTTCCTCGCAGAGAAAAGGGAAAAAAAAGCTCTTTTCACACACTCTGCCACTACTGTACGTTCTGCACAGTTCACACAAAATTGGATTTTAAAACAGACATACGGCTATTCTTTTCTCTTAGTTACATGGTTGAAATTCAGGGAAATGTCCCTTTCATCAGATTTACACAGGAGTAAGAGGAGAATACAGACACGAGTGCTACAGGGGCTGAAGAGAGAAAAAAGCCCAGACTCGAATATATGGCTGCAGGCATTTAACTGCTTACCAAAACAACTGGCAATCATAGAAGGAGAAGAAAGATTTCCTGAGTCTTGCTCAAAAAACCAAATTTTGGTGTCACAAGTTACCTCTACCAAAGTGACTTGGATAAAGGTTTTGAAGCATTTGCAGCAAGCCTGTGAAAAATCATAATAGTAAAAAAAAATCCCCAAACTAGAAAACTAAAATCCCATATCATAGAATCATAGAATAGTTAGAGTTGGAAGGGACCTTAAAGATCACTTAGTATCGTGAGGAGCTAATTGTTTATTTGTTTTTTTTTCTCAAAGGACACCGAGAAAGCTGTACTATGAAGAACTAAGCAATTTTGAAGAAATTGGACATATTTATGTACAGATTGTTCATAGTAATCGATAGCCATGTTCTTGGCTGAATGGAAACTGGTAAAATGCCACTGGCTTGGGTGGAAGTGCACAAAGCCACAAAAGGACCTGCACACAGCCACATATTACAGTGTGGGACTACCCTGAAAGACCAACTTAACTAAAAGCTACTGTAAATCAGGTGTTAGTATATTTTAAAGAATCTGGATCTGGTCTCCTTTTTGTTCCTTTTTTCTTGATTACTACACTTACTTTAATTAGATGGCTTATAAAAGCTTGCCATTTCATTTTCAAGAGCTATTTCTTCTGAACAAAAGCCCACTCTTGGGAGAAAGTATTTCTGCCCCATGGCAGCGATGGGGTACTCCACACAAAGAAGCACCTAGCAGTTTAGTTCACATTTTTTAATAACATGGCACAATTTACATTACACAAGTCTTCGCTGATGAGGAAACATGCTGAAGATTGAGAGCCGCTTCACTTTTCTTTTCACATAGGATCTAGAAAGGACTTTATTACATACAGGATAAACAGCAAAAAGGTTTGTATATAACAATCTCTTTACAATACTGAAAGCTACCACTACGGTTCCAGTGTACATATTCTTCAGGATTGGGGTTTTTTTGTATTTTTCCTTTTGTTCTTTAAAAAAAAAACAAAACCAAAAAAAAAAAGAAAACCACTGCACAACATCTGGAGTTCACAAAATCTGAAGCTCACAACTAAACCTTCAGTTGACTACTAAAATAGATCTCTGATCATTAGAAACAACTGTCTGTAGTTAAGTTTTTTCTTTTTTTTTTTTTCTTTTTTTTGCCAAAACAGGGTAACAACTTCAGATAGCACTTTAATACACTAGAAGACCAATGGAACTAATTTTATTTCATACATATATTTTACAGTCCAGTAGACAAGATATTGAATTCTCTCTGATAAAGTCATATTCTCTCCAAATATTTAGACAAGAAACTTAACACGTTATAAAAAAGTGTGTTATGAAAAGACAGATTTCAGAAGATTGATGCATATTTTTAAAAAGGACCGTGTTCTTCATGTTATTTCACGTCTTCTATGATTAGGGAACAACAAGGCTGACCTGTTAACTATTCACAGACTTTATTACCAACTGAAATACAATAAATTGCATTATGAAATCTGCATTGGAGTTCATTAATTAAACTACTAATCCACAGTGAAAACATGTCCATCATTAGAAAAGTATTAGCTTTCTTGTAGGATCTGTTTCAACGTAGCTAAAAATCACTTAACAAAAAAAAAAAAAAAAAAAAAAAAAAAAAAAAAAAAAAAAAAAAAGTGTGTGTACAGAGAAAAATGACACACTGGCAATAAAAATAACAGCAGACATGAATGGCTATAAGCAGATGTTCTTCCAAAAATAAATTTGACAAGTTAAGCGAGGAAGTTCTGGAAAATATCCAGCATGTGATTAGAACTGTTTAACCCAGATTAATGCGAGTAAAACCCAATCTGTCACGACTCCGGTCTCGGTAATTACAGATCGCTCCCCCTGACGCCTTCTAAGGGATACACGAGCTACAGCAACACCAACAGCTTGAGGCAGGGGGTCAACGGAAAACTACCCTTCTAACGGGCTGCTTCTGCATCAAAACAAGCACGAGAAAGAGGTTCCTACTAGAGATGAGCTTGTTCAGGGAAAATATGACTTTAATTATGTTGTGTGTTGAAAAGGCTCCTTTGAGTTATAAAGGCTTTTGTGAAAAGCCTTAAAATTCATTGCATAGTTGAAGGGGTTTAGCTGTCTATAACAATATATGTAACACAGCGTAAGCAGACTGTGTTGATCAATATTAAGTTTGCAAATAGCACAGTTTAAGAAGTATTAATGTATTATGTTACTTAATTTTATCTATTTACATTTGTACAAAGTAAAGCTTTCATCTTACCCTTTTTGCATATATGAACCATTAACCCATGAAGCAATCTTTTTACATAAATATCTACAATTGTCGTCACTTCTGGTCTGAAAGAGCGTTGTATGGTTGACATTGGTGGTGGTTTGTTTCTAGTCAAATCATTCAGATTAATGTCGTCTTCTTCAGTTCAAATTTTGACATTTTTAAACTAGAAATAAAATAGAGTAGGAGACACGAGGAACATATGGACTTGGCTAAAAGATCTGGAAAATTTCAACATATAATATACAAAAGAACCATTTCAAAATCTTTGCACTCAGGTCTATACATATTGTACAGTGGGTCACATCCCCAGTCTGTATCAATGACTAGTGAGAAGGTCTTTATATTATGTTCATTTACAACGTTCTGTCCCTCTTCCTCTGGTTTGTATTTATTCTCCCTCTGCTTATCGCGCTTCGATGTCCTTGAGGGTGTGAGAAGGAGGCCTCTCTCTCATCTCTGCTGACAGAGGAGTAGTCCTTCTGGGAGACCCGGGCCGAGGTCCCAGGGTAGAAATAAGAGGTGGAGGGGCACTGAGAGCTGCTGTGGGGGGAGTTTTATTGAGGATGCCGTTTTGGTGGCCCGTCGGGGGGCTGACTCGGGGGTAGTGCATGCTAGGAAGTCCTGGTGTGATTAGGCTTGGGTGAGGCAGGTGCCCGTCCAGGGCGGCGGGGTGAACCGAGTGCAGGCGCGCGTGTTCATAGTCCTCTCTCAGCATGTGCAACCGCTCCCTGTCATCCAAGTGGTTGCCCCTCTCGTGCTCACGTCGAGGGTCAACAGAGAGAGGGTGGTGGTGATGGTGGTGGTGATTGTAGTCGTGAGGTTCCCGATCCCTGAACGACCTGTCTGCTTCATATAATCTTGGCGTAGAAAGACGGTGAAGGGGGTCGTTTCTTAGCAAAAAGTCTCTGCCCAGGGGGTCTCTCCGGTGAATATCTAGCTCTCTGTAAGGATCTCTTAAGGGATCTCTCATTGGATCCCAGTGGAAAGAAGGATAGGGGAAACGTTCTCCACCAGGAATTGGGCTAATTCCCATAAAAGGGGTCATCATGCGAGTCCTATCCAGGCCACTGATGCTGTTCATGTGATGTATACCAGTTACACCTACAGTCATGGGCATAGACACTAAAGGACTTGGATGGACGTTAGATGTGGATATAGGCGGTGGCTGATCAGATGACCTATGAGTCTGAGGTCCCTCAGGTTGAACATCATGGTCTTCCTTTCGCTCCTCCTTCACTTTGACTTCATTGCTTTTCTTCGGATTATCGTACGCCGGCTCGTTCTTCCTCTCAGCCTCACGGTTTGAAGTACTATTAGGCCTGGTGCTCTCCACAACGGGGGGCCTAGCATAGGGTGAAGGAACCCTGGACATTTGCTTAGACTCTTCCACCACTCGGCTTTCATGGCTCAGGCCTTCTTTCTCCGAAATATAGTTGTCCTTCACCTTGTGCTCTTCAACATTAATTTCCTTCCGAGATTCGGAGTGATCCCTCTCTCGTTCTTTGGGTTTCTCTTTTTCTCGAACCTCAGGATTCAGATGGCTCCTGATCTGCTCGTTTGAGCTGCGATTATGTCCGAGGGAGTTTACTGGATGGATAGGTGCTGGCGAAGGATGGCTGGAGTGTCTTTTCTCAATGCTCTCCCTAGAAGAAAGAGAAGTGTAAAAATGAAGGCTTGAGAAACTTTGAAATAAAGCATCTACTCACTGCTTTGCAGATAGCTGGTAACATGCCCCCTTAAATGCACTGTTCCTCTTGCACACCCAGAACACCAGAAGAACATCCCATCTCTAGACTAGGCCTATTCTATTATCTCCACCCAGGAGAAGAAGATTCCCAAAGCTGCTTTGTGAACGACCTGATTGAGATTTCAAACCCTGCAGTCCATAGAAGGCTCCCGAGGGAATCTAGCTCTAGTACACAGATTTCTAAGACAACAGCCTTAACTGTTTGCAAAGAAGAGAGAAAAAAATAAAAACATGCTAATTTAATCCAAAAAAAGTGAGGCAGTTAAATCCAAATTACATGGTTAATAGTATTTTACCTGCTTCTTCCATTAAGAATACATTTGGGAAAACAGATGACATTTTCTTCAAATGACTTTTAAAAAAATTTCTAGATCTATGTACGTTACTAATTCCTTATCTCTATTTCTTCAATCTTCTAGCTTTTCAATTTACTTCTCACAATTAAATTTAATTCTGAAAATCAAAAACAAAACCCTTTCAAGACACCAGCGGTGATGGACAATCCACCTCTCTGACCAGGGGCAGGCATCACCTCTCTAAGCGTGCAATGGACCTCAGTGCAAGTGTGGCCACCACGTGGAGACTGTGTGCTGACCCTTCTGGACGCCTTCCTGTCCAACCACTCTGGGTGACCCTGCTTTGGCAGGGGGTTGGACTGGATGATCTCCAAAGGTCCCTTCCAACCCCTACGACTGTGATTCTGTGACTTCCTCAGCAGAACAGTCTCTCCTACACGCCCCTCCTTCGGGCTGGCTCTCAAAGCATCATCTCTCCTCAGATTACCAGCCCTTCCCAGGGCACAGCAAGCAGAGCAGGGCCAGGGCCAGCACATCTCCCTGCCAATGCAGTCTCAAAATACTGTGAATTCATTCCATCTTTCAAACCTAATTACGTGGCACAAAAGATTAGAGAATTATTGTCTGGCAGTGGACAAAACCCTCAATATGTGAACGGAGCCTGTACCAACTATTTTCTGGAAGCCGAGTTGACCAGGAGTTGTTATGGGCAACACTAAGTGAAAAAGCTTTCCTCTTTAAAATGAATCAAAATCATAAGGAAAATCTAATTAATCAGTTCCAATGATTTTAACCTCTCACTAACTGATCTCTGGGTTGGAGTCTCTCCATAAATAGAGCCCCAGATACTCAGTGTTGGACACTGCTGTTTGCTGACCATGGGAATGCTGTGCCGTGGGGGGTGATGGACAATGTCCTGTTACAGGCAGACCAAGGGATAAGCAATGAGACCCTCTGGAGTCCCAAAGCAGCTCCAGCAGACACAGCTTCTCTTTGGGTGCTGCCGTCTCTGCTTCATAAAGCCTGACCTGAGGACACTGGGATGAGGACAGCAGGTTGGCACTCACTCTGGACGAGATGAGCAATAGATACTGGCTGGCTGAAGGGCAACCCGCAGGGTGACTTGGAGGTGGACACTTGCTCCTTCACCAATACAGCTCCTGCTGCCTACTTCTTTGCTGAGCTGAACTGCGTAAGATTCCTACCTGTAGGTACTTTTGGACAGTGAAACTGCAGCAACTGCAGAAAAAATATCTTTGTAAAGGAAACTCTCATTACCGTAGCTTCACCAGCTGCATCTTCTGCTGTGTCTAGACTGAACTGAAACTGTCATTTTATGGGCCATGTCTGAGAGTCCTCAGAGAGTACAGAATGTGACTGTTAGAAAACATTTGTAAGTTGGAGCATTTGATACCAGAACTGCCTCGTCTGCACTGACGACCAATTACCTCCTTGGTATCAGGTTCTGCTTTGATTGACTGGGCTCTAAACAGTCTGGAAATCGTGCCCTGGCTCTAATTTCCCCCCTTTTGCTTTCCACCACAAGTTGAGGCCCTTGATTTAACAGTTTCCGGATTTGGACACAGTGAGACCAAGTCAAGGCCAGTGGAGGCTTCTCACCATGAAAACTCGATTCTTCTCCTCTGCTGGGAAAGCACTGGCTTGTGGACTCTGCAACAACTAGTCTTTTATTCATTTTACTCGTGGGACTAGTTCAGAGGGCACCCTTAGTTAATTCTCTAGGAGAGCTCATTGAGTCCTTTTGCTGATATTTAATCAATTTTCTATGTAATTGATGTATTTTAAACTACGCATAAAATTTAGAGAAAATAACAGCCATTTTCTGTAACTAAAGAAAAATATAAGTGCAACCAAAATAACATATTCCTTTGCCAATTTCATCCTATTCAATTACAGCGACGTTATTATCTCAAGAGGCTATTGATTATGTAGCGCACTTAAGTGAACTGCGTGTAGTTCAGTGGTCAGGGAGGGAATCATTTTTTATCCTCAGATCTGTCAAGGGCTCCTGAGGTTGGTAACACAGGAACAGCTCTGAGCCTCTGTTCTCCACAGAGAAACTTAACATCATGTTCTCAAATGAAGTTAGTAGTGAGGAAGGTATGTTTTGAGGCTCTACACTACATGGAAAGATCCCGAGTGCTGATTATGTTGATAAAAGATAACAGATTCTGGAGAGGGGGTGTGTGTTTAATTCTCCATGATTACATACACTTAAATGTTATTATTAGAATGGAATTGCTCAGTGACATCTTTTAAACAAAATACCACTGAGAAGAAGCAAATCTTATTTCTCACAATAGCTATTTTTACTGGTTTTTTTCCTAATGCTGGGCTGAAGGAACAGAGTCCTTGAAACAAAAACAACAAACTCCAAAACTACAAATGATGTTGCAGGAGAAAGTGGGCACCCTCTCAGGCCATCTCAAGGTGACTCCCCAGCCAGCTCTGCACCCAGGAAAGGCTCAGGGACTGTAGTTTCATGTATCTATGCTCTCCTGAGGGATTCACCTCCTCCCAGTCCGGCCGGGGGGGGCTGCGGGACCCCGGCCACACGGAGCAGCCGAGAGAGAGAGCAGTGATTGCCTGCACCCCCTCTAATGCTGCTCTTAGACGGGGCAGAGCCAAGCCAAGAGCTGCCCCTGAGGCACCTTCCCACTGGTAACACAAGAAAATCAGATGAATACTTTTGGCTAGAGGGACGGATAAAGTTAGGCCCTTGATGAAAGGATGATTTTAAGTTGAAATCATACCTCCCAGCGTGATTCCCAGTTCTTCCTGTTTGAGCGTATTAGCTAAAAATAGGTAACAGAGATTGGGACCCCCAGTAGAAAGCAGGGCTACAGCCTCACCCTGCTGGCAATGAAAGAAGAGGTGTGAGAGGCTCACAGGCTGCTCCGGGCAGGATCTACAGAGGAGCACGTCTGCAGGGAGGGATGCTCAGCACGTCTGAGAGGCAGCAGGGTGAGCGTGCTGCAAAGGAGAGCTCCTCAGAACCCCACGGGTGGATGCACAGCAATGCTAGATCCACCACCACATCACTGCACTGGACTGGTGCCACCCTTGTGCAGAAGTATGAAGTATGAATGACGCTTATTTTTAAGGTAATTCTCAAATCCTTGAAAATAAACATGTTCCGAGCTACGGTACGGAGTTGGGCAGTGCCCAAGCAGCTTGCAAGGAATGTCTTTCTGAAAGGGGTTTTCTTCAGCAGGAACACTTCATAACAACACAACAAAACAGCAACTGCAATAATCACGCAATTCTAAAGACTACCCACATCATTAGTAACTAAAATGCTTTGCCATTCAAGCCAGTAAAGTTACTCACACGCTTAAGCATTTTGCAGGACAGAATCCCCAATTTGTAACAGCAATTGATTTTGAAGCGTTAACACCGGACATGAAAATAATGAAGCTATGCTACCAAACAGAAAATATTCCAAATGGAAAATGTAGGTGAAAAAAATCTGTAGTTTGACTTGCTCTTGGCACTTTACAATATCATAGCAAAGCTCTTACATGGATTTTTAGAATATCTAATGTGTTAGCATAACTTCTTTTAGAAAAGGCTACTAATGCCTATATTTGGGTTAGTGACAGAGAAGTCAGAAAAGCACATCTCCTAAATATTGTCTTATGTTAAAGAATTAGAAACAAATAGCCATTATGTAGTAAAGTCATGTGCAAACTTAACAGGAAAGCCATTAAGCCACAACTGAAAAAGCTGAAATCAGCCTCTCTGCATTTTTCAAGGAAGGCATGACACTTGCTGAATGGCAAATTCTTATAATTTGGTACTTAAATGTTAAGAGGAATTGTTACTGAGTTAACTGTATAATGGGAACAGTCCTGACAAAAAAATATATGACCAGGTTTTACTTTTCATTAACCCTTCCCAGCCTGGACATGTCAGCGTGTTGGTCCATGAAAACACTGAATAAGAACTGTGCTTGAAGGTGTGGAACAGTGGTGCGTGGGGGGGGGGAGGGCTTTTTTTGAGGGGAATGAAGGTTGATTTAGTGAACTGCATGCACTGAAGCTTACTGGTATTGGAACGTGACACCCCCAGTGCATTTCATAGTGCTATAATTTTGCAACTTTATAAGTGGTCCCTCTGGTCAGTCCATTTCTGAGGAGGGAGGTAGGGTTACTTGTTTTGCAAACAAGGTCCAATTAAAACAATTTATTTAATATCTAAAGGTGCAGATATGCGTCTGATGGACTCTATAATCTTTTTTTCATCCTGTCAGGCACCTATCTACACGTTAAGTCTTCAAAAGACCTATGAAATGTGACCCACCAGGTGACAGACCAGGTATGGGTTTGGTTCTATTCTCACTTGCTGCTGCCCGAGCTCGGCTCCAGCAAAGCTCCTGCTGACGGAGCGCAGGTGAGAAGAGAAACAGCTGCTGTAGGAAACACCCGGGTCAGAAACCTGCATCTTCCGTGGTGCCTCACGTGGGAGGCAGCGAGGAGCCAGCTCTCAGCTGTCCCTCTACTGAAGCTCTGGTTGAACAATGTGCCAGGCTGGGAAGGGTTAAGAGCGGAACGGAGCCCCAAGCTTTGAACTAGACAATTCTTGGAAGTGTTCTTTCGTACCTTTCTTTGTCATCTTTACTAACAGATGAGTCTCGTTTATCTACATCTCTATCTCTGTCATGAGCTGCAGCAGATGAACTGCGCTCCAGCTCTCCTGGCTTCAGCCAGGGCGGAGGGGTCGGGAACGAAGGAGGAGTTCGGTGCAGTCGGTTCCAGGGCTCGTGAGGGTTGCTAAAGCTCTGCATACTGGGGCCATCCTTGTGGCCGAACATTGAGTTGGGTGCTGAAATGGTGAAGTGGAAAACAAAAAGGTTTAAGAAAAAGGTATGCTCTAGTGAAGGTACTTACCAAAACAACTTTTACAGCACTCAGAGTTAAAATGAATACATATTATTGGGAGCTGGAAAAGGAAAGGAAATTAACAGAGATTCATTAGAGGGTCTCATTCCTAAAAAACGGGCAGGCATCTGACAGCTGTTTTAATTGGGAAGGGAAATGCTGTGGATAAAATTGAGAAGGGATGACGTAGTAATATAAAAGTGACAATGATCCTTATTCCAAACATTTTGGAGACATCAGGAAATGACCGTTATACGCACTATAAATAATGGAACTTGTAGCATTTGATCCTGAACCAAAGTAAAACAATACGTGACCGAAATCATGCCAGATTTGAAGTATGGAGAAAGAGAGTGGTTTTTAAAAGGATGATCTTTTGTGACTGGCCAAATCTAGAGTAATGTTGATGATCCTGGGCAAATAAATGCAGGTTAGTGATCTTTTCCAGGCACATGTCCTGGGTTACTGGTGAGAAAGGAAAGAAAAAATGTTCCCATCCACAGCTAGGATGCTGCACACATTAACTATTTTTGAACATGCAATAAAACCAGGAGAAATTTCACAAACTCCTTAGATTAATAGGTTCTATATTATTTTCTTTTTTTTTTTTTACCGAACAACGTAATGGTGACATTTAGCACTACGTTGAACCCAAACTACTAAATAACTAATAGAAAATAATTTACTGATGACTAAAAAATGCTGTTATTTAGAAGAAAAAGATCGCTTTTCAAATTCCCATCTCTTAGAGGTATTATGTCATCTAAGCAACTGGTAAAAAAAGACAGCATCAAAAGTAGTCACCATCGCTCAACGCCCTGAATTACACAGCAAATGAGAATTCATTAACAAAGAGGTTACTCACTAACTGTGGGGTTCCCGAGTCCCCCGAAGGCGTTACTGCCCACGGCGGTGAGGCCGCTGAAGGAGGCCGGTCGATTGAAGGGCTCTGCAAACCAAAGGAAACCAAAGGGCTGAAGCTCACAGAACGTTGGGTCATTACCATAAAGCATTAACATGTTCTCCCACGGCATTACGGCCAACGAGAGCGCGCTCCGTGCCCGGCGGGAGCTGAACATCACCCTCCCACAACACAGCAAAAACCCTTTTTTTTTTTTTTTAAGACATTACGTGTGGGGTCATTGTACTAGAAAAACTTCTTCTTCAAAGAAAAACAAGATGTTAAAATATACATATTATTTAGGCCTGTGCTTCTGCATACTTCATTTAAAACCTTCATACATCTCCATTTTTACTTCTTTTTATTCCCTTCCAATTCAATTCCATGGTCCATCTCAGGAAGCGTCCCTGGCTAGCAACACTATTATTAGCTCTGGCAACTGTGCTTCAAAACACCTTCAGGCCATGTCCTCCTAAACCGTAGCCAGGATATAAATAAAATGTGCTATTACACTGATATGTCATGCTGACCTGAACATTTTATAATACTCTTGATATTTATTGCTAATACCATATGAAAAACTAGTACGGACTGAAAAAGATCAGAATTTTTTTTTCAGTAGTTAATGCATTCAGGGTATAGGTGAGTCACATGAAGCAAATTCTCTTCTCACTTGATTTTGGAGAAGTCTAACGATTTTGATTAAACTACTTCTGATAAATACCAGCCCAGAGAAAAGAGAGACCAAACCAAGCATTTTCTACTGGCAAAGTGCAGAATGAAAAACCTGCATCGTGAGTCCTTCTGGTGAGCCTCCCCAACCCTTCCCTACACAAAATAAAATGCCAATTTAAAGTCTCGGTCTCTGATGCTCCCATAGGCAGAGAAGTTGAGAGAGTTGAGAGAGTTCAACTCATGCAAAGAGTTGTTATTGCAACAGCAGTAAGTCAGAAGGGAAAAAACAACATTTAGTAACTTGGGTGGTCCCATTTTTAAATGCGTATTCACTTATTTTCACTAACAGACACATTTGAGACCAGATCAGTAGATTTTAAGGATGTGTTTTCCACTCACTGACATGGAAAAGCAGACATCTGAGTTACAGAAAAAAACCACCTCTATGAACCAAAGCCTTAACCTTAGGGCATTTTTTTTTTTGACTGGTTATGAAGATGACTAGAGTGAAACCCAACCAGCCCCTGTCACTCTGCTCTTCTAATATCCCGGTTGTTTTCAGAAGTACTTCAAAACATGCTGTCAGTGATGTTATTATGTGTATTTAGAACTGCTACTTGGGTAATGGCTAACATGATCAATTTATAAAGGTTAAGGAGGCAGGACACGCAGAGAGTCCCCACGTGGGCAGCCTTTAATGGTCTCAATGGCCAACGTGCGCTACTTCTGAGCCGAAGTTTTGGAGAGAACTTACCTAAGTGAGCAGCTGGGTTGAGAAAGTTGCTGTGGTGAGGGGGTGGGCCGAAAGGGGTGCCGGCTGGGTGACCCCCACCTGCCAAAACAAAACAGAAGGGGTGAATTCCAAGCAAAAGCTCACAAATGGCCTCATCGTGCCCTGGGCTTGACCGTCATTTCTGAAACGGCAGCTGACGGGCAGAGATGGCTGCAGGCTCAGGTCAGGGTCCTGCACAAAGAGCAGCCACTTTTCTATAGAGAAGTTCCCAGTTAGAGCAAAAGGGGCAGCGGGTGTGTGCGTGTGTAGTGTTCCAATATAGAAAGCAAGGGCACGCAGAACACATCCTATTTCCAACCTGTCCTCTCCACGATGTGTCCGATACCACTGCGTGAAGAAACACTCCTCCGTTTACTACCTGTACGGCATTTCCAGCAGGTTGGGCTTTCTTAAAAGCATGTGGAATAATTTAAAAATATTTATCAAATAGGCCAATAGCCCCTGGCATGTTTTGGAGAGAGTTCATGAGGCAAAGCATATGGGAAATACCCTTTTAACATAGCAAGGGTTTGCCACAGGAAGCAGATGTCACTTCTCAGTACTCACTGGCTGTGGAGAAGAGCGTGGAGGGCCGGGCCAGGTCGTGGGGGTGGTGGATGGCTCCAAAAAGGCTGGGGCCTGGTGGCCTGCTCAGAAATTCGGGTTTCAGGCCAAAATCCAGCTTGTGCGGATCAGACTGCATCTGTTTCTGAAATGTAAAAACAGGATTTGGAAGAGACTGTCCTAAAAGCAGTAAACACGCTTGGAGAATGATGTGGGCATAGCGAGTCACTCGTTCTAACTGAGGTTTTAACAAGAATGTCAGTTTTTGGGACCTTGAGCATAGGTGGAGAGCTATTTCCCTGGAAGGGGGATCTAAGGTGGAGAGAGAAAACCTCAGGCTCCCAATGCACATTTCCTGCAAGTTTGAGCAGTGTTCTCACTACGCTCAGGTCCATCCCTCCGTAGCGAAGCGTCTCAGCGCTGACCTGACCTGAAGAACAGCCACAAACATCTCTGCAGTTTCCATGTGAAGCCACATTGTAGAACCACTCCGTGCAGTTCCTCTCTCAGCGCCCCTCAGACTGCAACTGGGCCACCAAGGGGCTAAAATGACCCCAATTACAGACAAAGTGTATTTGAGTCTAAAGAACTGAACTCCCGTTTTGACTGATTGTCCCCCAAATCTAAAGCACTGGATGTCACTGTCTTTATTTATATGGTACCAGAATCATCAGGCTGTCTATTGTAAGGTGAATTTGCTGAGGTAGCTGTATTGTAAATGATAAGTGGATGAAGGATGGGCTCTGCTTTGTGCCATGAACTCATTTAGTGGTCCCTACTTCAACAGTTTTCTAGAAGGAAGAGGAAAACCAAATTCCCAATTACCTGTGCTGCCAGAACTCCCTAAACACAGATTGCTGATTAACTGTGCAGGTCAGCTGGAAGGATTTACAAACGTGGAACACCGAACCGGTGGATCTTAACAGTAATTCTGGAGCACGTTCCGCTTTATAAATCAGTATTTAATGCTGTGCCAGCTCCGAGTACAGACTATTACAATGATATAAATATGCATATTATAAAGTTATGACCAAGTTAATGTGCATGTCTAGTAGCTGTTTTTCAAGCGCTAGTAACATCTCTATGTAGCTACAAGAACAAAAAGAATCCAACAACAACCCCCCAAAAAAGCAAAGAAAAAGGCTTTTTCAATTTTTTGAGCTAATGGCCTGCAAGATTATTGAAACGGAAAAGATGGCCAAGATAAGGTCATGTCTTTTAAGGAAGTAACACTGTAGTGCTTTAATAATTAAAAGAAGTTCAGAAAATACAAATGACTCAGCCTAAATCTGTTTGCCAGATTTCTATGCTGTGAACTCTTTTTATTCTTCTTTTTAACAACCAAGTTATAAACCTCTGACAGGCATTACTCAGAAGAGCAAAAGCTGGCTGAAGCTTTAATTGCAGCCATATGAACAGTGCTGCTCTAAATAACGAAAAAATCCCCCATCTGAAGAGGAACAGGAACATCATAGATGTGTTAAAAGATTTTTGAATGTGTTGGTTTACCTTAAAATAGTACCAGAGAGAATTGAAGAGATTTACTTAATCCCCAGGTGCTGTTCAGGAGAGCGCCTGAATCTCTCGATGCTAAACCCTACGGATGTATTTGAAGTCCAGCAAATGAGTAACACCTTAACTCAGGGCCACTAACATCGACGTGAATGTCTGCAATAATTTCATGGCATGTTAGATCAGGCCATAAGGCCTTTCCTAAAAGGGAGGGGGCCCTTTTTACCCTGAACCCAGGCCGGTAGCAGACTGGTCAGTCCAAGGAGGAGTGTAAAATTGCCCTGTGCAGCCCTGGCTCCGTCTGGGCAATTCCCCAGGCACAGACAGGTTACCCGGGTCGGAGCCGTGTTGTGCTGCAGAGCTACAGGCAGGCAAACAGCATCCAATGCTGCACGCAATTTTTTTCCTGGGGTCAGGAAGGTTGTGTTTTAAAGTTTCCTACCCTGCCTGCTTCTCCAGTGCCTGCTCTTGCCTTCTGCAAGCAATTACTAGCGGGCCAGGTAGTTACCAATTCTGCCAGACTTTGCAGGCTGGTGGCACTGCATGCAAACGTGAAATCTCCGAGTAAAAATATATGACTCCCTGCTCTACGGTCAGGCAGCGTGGAGCTTGTGCAGAAGACAAGGCACCTTCACAGCCCTGGGCTACAAGGAGAATTCCTGCTGTCTGAGCCTTCAGCCAGAGAGTTCACACTGGGTGCTCACCTGCAGAGGGAGGACGTCCCCATGTGGGAACCTGAGAGCCCACGGGGACAAAAGCCACCTCACCTCACCGACTGGAGTCCATACCTAATTCTTCAACTGCACTGAGATAATGAAATACATTTGCCCATTATTCTTGAAATTATCATCATCTACAGCCTCAAAAAGTCAAACGACATCCTTTCCTGTACTTCTAAGCTTTATTCCTGTTTTTTAACATGCGAGATAGTAAAGTATTAGGTAAAAGAAATGGCTGCATGAAAGTGGCATTTACTATGAGTTATAAATACACCAGTATGACCTCTCTCTGAATATCAAATCAAGGAAGATTCAAAGGACATAGATAGCATGGGAATAATAATTTCATTTCAAGAAAATACCTTTTCAATAAAATAAAAAAAAGGACATATAACTCTCTAGGTCTATAATCTTGTCTTTTTTGATAATGGGAAGATGAATGAAGATCACTAGCAGGGGAAACATAAGGAAGCAGAGAAGAGAGATATGTCTACTGCAGCAAATTAACCTGTCAACCTTGTTTAAAAGGGTTATTTTTAAACTCTATTAGCTGCAGGTTTTAGTAGCTGTTCAACATCTTCATATTCTTATAGAAATACCTTACACAAGTCAATTGCACACAGAGACTGCTAAGTGCTATGGCCTCCTTGGTAATTTTACCTTCTCACACAAGCTATTGACTCCTGAAGTACAAGGATGAACAATAAAGAACACCAGCCTTTCCCGACTCACTGAAAATTACTTGTTTTTCTCTGACATCTGTTTCAGAAGAGCCTAAACCAGCCATGGCCCTTACTCCTGAAGTCTCAAAGCATGTGTAACAAAGAAAAGATTTCCAGCCCTTTGCCTTCGGTGCGATGAGACAGTGTCTGGGTAGTGTCATTTCATCGGAGGGGCTGTGTCCCCTGGCCAGCCCAGACACCTACAGGCAACACTCATCCAGTGAGGAGATGTGAAAAAAGACTGATGGGTGCCCGTGCAGCCACATTTCATGAAGCATCTTAGGGACAGAAGAAATCTTCCTGTGCCCTCTCCTGTCCGTGGACATTAACAGATGAATAGAAGCTCCATGCCAAGCTTCTCCAGACTTAAAAAAAAAATTAATCTTGATACGTTTGTGTCCTCAGTCACAGATAAAAGCGATGTTGTAGCTGTCAGGCACACCCATTTAGCTCTTCCTAGTTACAAACTGTTTGTTATCACCTAAGATCTGGTGTCCTTGCTCCGTGGCACCACAGACATTCCTCTGAGACTCTACCTTTAGGTTTTTAATTCCCAAAAGACTGACCTTGACTTTCTGTTGGTGGTGGTATATCTGCCAGGCGATGTGAACATGCATAGCGCACCACTTCCCGGGTTTCTGGGAAAAAAACAAAGGGATACAACATGAATCAGTAACTTTCAAAAACCTGTGATGTTTTATTCTAGTTCAAGCAACTCTTAACCCAGTCTCTTTTGGTCTAGGGGACTTCCCATGCCAAGACACTCCCTTCAGTGCTTTCCCCTCTCCATCCTCTTGGGAAACCAGAAATGCAAAGAACTTTTCCCTTACTGAGAAGTTTATTGGGATACCCAAGAACGCTCCTGGTCGCTCTCCTCTCCAAATAAACCCCTGTTCAGGTTTTACACACTCTTGCAATCTTCTGATGCCACCGGCTGAGAATGCAGCTTGTCTTGCCGAAATCCAGGAAACCATCTCCTGGCCAGCAGCTGCTCTGCGGGGCTGGATTTGCTCCACACCGAGCATTGAGTTCATTTCCGAAAGTGTAACTATTCTAAGACTATCCTTTCCACCAAAAGATGAGAATGAAAGCACTTTAAAAGATCAGTCTCGTTTTCAAAATTAATCTGACTCCCTCATATAATTGCTGGTTTGCACCTCCATCACTTTAGCTCATAAATATACCACAAAAATCAGAGATCAGTCACTTCACTCCTTTTGGGAAAGCTCCTTCCTGTCACCATGCTTTTAAGTCACGGAGAGGAGAGAGGGAGGAAAGAATCAGAGAGCTGTTTGGGTTTTCTTGCTGATTTCTTACTCCGTTTCCCAGACATCTGGAAATCTTGTCTGAAAAAGACTCATTCGGGATAAACTTTCTCCGATTTTGTTATTTAGGGGTCTGTAGTTCACTACACAACTAATGATTCCTGCAGATTTCAAAATAACCACAAGAATTCAAGAATCTCCTCAAGCTATTGGGAGTTCCACAAGCTACACCCTACACTCTGCCTTCTATTTCGAGGTGTACATCAACCAACAATTGAAAACACAAAAAAATAAACCCCATCTCACACACATACTCCCCTAAAACCAAGCCCTTTGCTTATTCCCAGCAAGTGGCTGTGCCAGGGATTTAATAAGCTCCAGTGGTTGGTTCCATCAAAACTAGACCTTCTCAAACGCATAGAAAAATTAACAAAAAAACCCTTTTGGGTCACTGGAAGACTGGACTTTTTGATCCTTATTTCTAAAATATTTTGTGTTTGGATTGTCTGTCTGTCCTTGACAGTAAGATACCGGGGTAGGAAGGGCCAGAGTGAATAAAGCTGAAAAGGGACAGTAAATACTAAGCAGCAAAATCCTCCAGTCTGCAGTGGAACACGAGGGGATCGCTGCCGGGGGGGGTGCTCCAGGATTTGGCTTAGGAAACCCCTTCAGCCAAGGGTTATCAATATTTAACCTCTAGTACCCATAGCGGGGCTTGCCTGAGAAGAACAAAAAACTTCCAACTTTTCAACTGTGCATTTTGCTCGAGTGACCCCAAGAGGCACAGACACGGTGCGAAATACCCAGGACGAAACACGGAGCTGCTTTAGAATTAAGCGGCTGCTCTGACCCGGCGGGGACCGAGAGGAGCCCGACAAACGGCATCACAAGAGGATTTCTTACCCTCAGCATGGGCCTGAACGGATCTGTCAACTGTGAAGAAGAAATGACAGCTTGGTTACATGCCTGTCACTCAAACAATTGCTCTAATTAACAAATTTGTATTGCTTCATTAAGAGACGAAATTAAAATGTTATCATTTTACTTTCAAATGAAGCCCTTTTGGATAATAATTAGTCCTTGGCCTCCGTATGGGAGCTGGTCTCCCACCCCCCACGGCTGCTGTCCCCGAGGGGTGACAAGCCACCAGAGATGGCTCCTGCCGAGCACCCCGTCCTCGGGCACATCATTCCTCCGGGGGTTTAGTGCTACAGAAAGGGCTGGTTATGGGAGCTGGTCTCCCACCCCCCACGGCTGCTGTCCCCGAGGGGTGACAAGCCACCAGAGATGGCTCCTGCCGAGCGCCCCGTCCTCGGGCACATCATTCCTCCGGGGGTTTAGTGCTACAGAAAGGGAACTGCTCTGGAGAAACACACAGATCCACCCTTCGGGCCACTTCTGTGCCCATCTCTCAAAGCTCGGGGACTGGACAGGCCCCCTTTTTCACAGAATCGATCCCACAAATTGGGTCGGAACAAGCTGGAACGGGGTTAGATGTGACCCAACACACCGGTTGCTGGTTCAACAGCTCCTCTGCTCTCTCTCACAAATGGGCTTTGCCTTACATATTTTTCACACTGCAACAGATGTTGATAAACAGGGGCTGAATGAAAAAAAAAATTATTTTCTCATTATTTTTGTGTGTGGCCTGTGGTTTTTGAGTAGCTTATTTTCTTATTCTCCTTTTTTTCTATCAATTAATGCTGGAAAATAAATTCAATCTACTGGTTATTTCTCATTTGTTTTGTTTTTTCTTTTTTGAAATGCAGTATTAAAGGAGATTTATAGGTGCAAGAGGTACTTTGCAGACACAGTGATGGCACCATCCATCATCTTGAAATAATCGAAACTACACTACAAGTTGCAAGGGAGCATAAAACTAAATGACTTAATGACGGGAGGCTCTAGTTGTCTTTTCAATTAGATAGAATAAACAGAAATGTGGTGGTTCCTTTTGGTACAAAGCTCAACTACAGCCCCAATTCCAAGCAAACCAAAGTACTGGAGCTTGGCAGAACCCAAAGCAAACAGCTCTGCTGTACCTAGAAGTTTCGCCACACCACGACGTGGGGCTTTGAGGGGAGCTCCCCATTGCTTTTGTCAGAGGGTTCTGCTAAAAATCTGACTGCATGATGTTCCTCATCACATTCAAACCTGCAAACAGCCCATGGGCATTCACGAGGAACAGAGAAAGGCGACGAGACAAAGTGCTGAGGCAATAAATGCCGTTCACATTCGCTGGGACTCAAACATCCAGAGGCGCCAAGTGATCAATAAAAAGCATCCGTATTTCACTGGTGCAATCAATGATACAGTAACCAAGGGAATAACTGTCATTGCCCACATTAAAAACAATTACAGAGTATAAACATAAATCTTGAAGAGGTTTGTACATTTCTACGTTGAATTGGACTTTTCCGCCTCTACCTCTGGGCTGTGGGGACGCTTGCTGAGAGCAGGGGAAGAGCTTCTCCACTCACAGCATCTATTTGCTTTTGCTAATGATGAACAGGAGTAAGGATCGGGATTTAAATTGTTCCATACAACTTCTCCAGCACTCATTGACTTAAACAGCTCAGACTAAGCTTGTAGTCTTGGATGTTAATTTGGACATATTGAACACGGTAGCTCTAGCATTCAAGGTTTTCAGGAGGAATAGTTTTACTTGAGAAAAAGATAACATTTTGTACAGACCCGTGGATCTTTCTGTAGAAGGGTGTGTGGGACAGTTCCAGGTCTGGCTGCAACATCAATAGGATTGGAAGTCTAGAAATAGCACAAGGAAAGACAGTGTTAATGAGTAACACAATGCATAAAAGCAACAGAAAGTGAAAAATAATACTTCTTCATCATTAGCATTGCCTAAGTAATGAAGACAACCTTTTTAAAGAGGAAAGGATTACCATTATAAGTCACTTAGTAATATATGTCTTATCATCTCAATTTTCCAACTTCCACTGTTCACCAACTTCCCATTACTGTATCCAAAACTCATAAAGGAACAGTGACTTTTATACTGGAATATCTTTCCACTGTCGAAAACCTGATTCACAACATTTTATGATATGGCATCTAACAGAGTATTTGGAGAGACCAAGCTCGTGATCTGCTGCTTATCAATACTGGAACTGGCCCAAAACCGCTACCCCGACAGTCAGCACCCAAAGCATCAGGAACCTCCTTAGTACAGGGATCTCAACTCCATCCACAATGAACCATTACCAGAGGGGTGTCAGGAAAAAGCAACATCCATTGAAAAAAATTAAAGCTTTTCCCATGATTTGAATGTAAGTATTCAGCTAGTAAAACACAATGCAGCTTTGTGAAGAAAAAAACAAAAAACCCCCAAAATTCCCTACATTTAGACAGAGCTTCTTCCTACATGAAAATGAAGAAAAAAAGAAATCAGCCACAGTATAACTAACAATTAAGTAACAGAGTTGTTAACAGTCTGATTACCATACATACGAAGAATTCCACTAATGAACTGCAATTTGCATATTCAGCCATTACAGTGGATGGGCCAATTTAAGAAAGAAGGTGTCTTCTCTGCAGAAATTTCAGGCCTGATTTCAGTCTTTAGTTGCAAAGCCGACAGAGTGCAGAGTATGATTTCCTCCCACTTATAAATCAAGAGTGACTTCATGAAAACAAAAGGAAAAAAAACCCCAAACTCATCACATTGCTCTATCCTCGCTCTGACAAACGAGAGCAGCGCTAAATCAGTGCGCTGCGCTGTGGCGGAGCTGTGAGATAATTATGGAAATGAGTAAACAATAGTGATCATGATTTCTCAAAATCTTGATTATTACATGACCTTACATTAACGCGCACTATCTGAGAACTAATTATATTGCTTCTAAAGTTAACTACGCCATTAGATTGTTATTTTTTTTTTCCCATGGATGGAGATATATCTGAACCTAATGAGAAATAACGCCTCTTTGTAGTAAATTTGGAAAAAGCCAATTGTCCTCCGTGGAATGAGGCTGTAACTCAGACCTCAACTGCTCCAGAACCTGAACCACCTTCTAACCCCAACCCGGCTGATAACACCAGTGTGTGTGAGCAGTAAGAGATACACAAAGAACCCATCTCACCTTGGGCTGAAACGCTCCTTGTAGCGAGCCAAAGGGGCCAGTGGGAGGGATCATGGGAGGAATACCTGATACAGCTGGAGGATAGGAGTGAAACAGCTGGAACAGAGAGACAGAACACCATAAATACCAGCCCTCGGCAAAACGGAGTCGGGGGTTTGAACAAACAGCGACACATTCCTGGGCAGTATCAGGGAAATGGCACATGGAGGAAACTGAGGAGCATTGAAGAAGTGATCTCGTTGCGACGGTGTTAGTTAAAGCAGTCAATGGGATGTTCACAAATGTCATGACGTTTAGAGCTTAAAAGCAGTTCCAACATCACAAAGCCAGCAACCTGCCCCCTGGATTGGGCCATAGCGTCAGAGAGATTGATGGTTTTTTTCAATTATTAATTTTTAAATCAGACAGAGGTTTTACACGGCTTCAGTCTGCAAGCCATTTCAAGAGAAAAGGCAGAATATCGAGCCAAGGAAGACTCAGAAATCTACCGTTTAAGCAGAAAAAAAACCCTTACAAATTCTAGGATATTGTATCATTAAAACTCCATTAGTACGTTAGGATTTTAATAGTAGCTACAGGAAATGAGGAAAATATGCACAATTCTTACTTCATTAGCCTGTCTGAGAGGATATCCTGCTACATCTAATATTAACAGAGAGACAATCTGATTTTTTACAAATTATTATTTAAGGAAAATGTTGAGGCAGAACGCCCCTCCGAAACAGAGGGTAGTGTTTCCATAAAGACAGACTACTAAGTATAAAAAAGTGCATATCTCCACTGACCTCGCTGATCCCATTAGATCTGTTCTAAGAATTTAGCAATAAAAAATAAAATAAAATAAAAAAAGCTGTTCTGTACTAATGCAGAGAAAGACATGGGGGAACAAGCAAGTAAACCATAACATCCAAATCTTATCTTCTCTCTGTGGTCCGGATGCGAATCTTTCACTCATACAATTCCAAGGAAAATGCTGAGATTACACACAAAATTGCTTTCCAGGAAGAGTTCAAAGCATCACACTCCGAACACGGTCGCAGTGTGAAAGCTCTGCATCTAAGAGGGGGAGGCTGTGAATTCTGCTGGTATCGCCCCCCCAAACACCTAAAGGTTTATGTGGCTGGTACAAATTTATCTCTAAACACAGACATCAAAAATCAATCTACTGTATGCTACTTTTAAGATCAAAATAAATGAGTTAATGGCCAATCGAACAGAAGCAGGACTGGGCAAAGTAAAAGACTGGACACGGGTGGGCAAAAACTGGGACAATCACATCCCAGAGGAAATCAGCATCACAAAGTTTGGATGAATTTGTTTATGCCAGACATATGTATGTGCTTTTCTTAATTGTTTCTCCTTCCTCTAGCTTCTCTTGCAAGGTCATTTATTCATATTTAGTTAGTCATATTTACTGAAAGCTGAGAAAATATCTCAGTATTTTAGAGGTATCAAAAGATTTTCTCAGTTTAAAAGCATGGTATCGAGTCTCCTTTCATAACACGTTTCTATTGTTGCTTTTAATTCTGTTTAATTTGGACCTGCTTCATTCAGTGATGCAGAAAGCGTTTTTAGATTAGTTGATACTGAACTGTAGGCATCTGAGAAATCATTAAGAGACACATGTCCTCATTTACAATAACTTTTAATGAGTAAAATGTGTTTTAAATCCTCCAGCGCCTTCTGCATTTAATTCTGTGTGTAATGGACTAATTCCAAACGATGGGAACAGCCGTAATACTTAATATTCTATTGGCTATGACTAACAATAAGCAACGGTTTCCTTAGAGTTTTATAACAACTGGTAAGTTAATTAAATGTGACCTTTCCTCAAGGTCAGAATTATTAATAAAATAAAAATATTCAATCTCCAGGATCTCTTTGTATCAGTTCAATTCCTCCAGCTTTCAAAATCCATCTTTCATAGCCAGTGTTTCCTTTTTCACCCCCTCTTTTGAGCAACTTTTTCCCCTTCTGGCTTTCTCCAGGGAATCACGTAGCGGTCCCAGCTCTCCTGGGGCCGGGAACAGTGTAACACTAAAACAGACCCAGCATTAACTGCAGGTAAAATAAAGCCTCACTCTGCTGCAGTAAGGCCCTCCCAAAAGAGAAATGATTGTAAAATCAAAGATGCCAAAAAAGAAAACAGTTTGAAAGGTCTCCATGAGTTCCTGTGTGAGCTGTGCTCCCTGCTCCAGAGCAGATTGGTTTTAACTCTCAAACAGACCTCGTCCTCCTGCAAAGTTCATGTCCGAACCTTAAAAACATGGACAGCTTTTTTTAAGATGCCTGAATTCTTGGTGTGGAGCTACAGAGGAAACTCTTGTCACCGGGAAAAGGCTTATGGAAGTTCCACAGTTTCAGAATATTTCTACAATAGGGAAAGCCCCATCGGCTCTGCACTTAGGGCAGCAAAAGTACACTTTTTGATACAGCAGCTGCTCAGGAAACTCTGAGTAGTAATTCCTCTGTTACCTGTACCATCTGCAGGCATTACAGAAGGGATTACTGCAGTGCCCTGGCTAGCACGGCCTTGCTGGAGATGGACAGACCAATGTCATTTGTAGCCACCATGTTGGTCTTCTGGAATGAAGTTGCTAAATGTCCATCAGACATAAAAGTGATTCTTCTGCAACCACCAGGACAAACCTTTCCCGAGGGAAGGGCAGGGGAGGCATCAGGGACCCCACTCTGCTGGTGGAGCTCCACCAGGTTGAACAGCAGGGCTCACTGCTGAAGGGGCAACAAGGTGAAGCCCTCCCTTACTTTACAGGGGGTAACACCGTGACCTTTACAACTCAGGTAAGTGCCAGATCTATCAGAGATAACGTCACTGAGTTTGAAAAGTTGGAGAGTTTTGCACTGCTTCCTATGTGACATGTCCTGTGTGTCCGTGATTTGTTTGTCTAAAATTCATTTACCTATTTCCCAGTTCCGTGTTCTTGCCTGAATCAACACACCACATGGATGATAATATATCTTTTGAATCCATGTAAAGCTCAGCAAATACGAGTGCAATTTTGCAAACGGTGATGCAAATGAGCAGCATTACCCTTTCGAGCAAAAGTGATTCTTGGAGGCTTAAATGTTTGCCTAATACAGGTCCTGCAAACACCCTCACAGAGTTGCAGTCACTCAGAGGAGGTGTCAGGTATTACCAGGGCTGTTCAGGTGTGCTACAGGCTCCGGGTGTTCCATCGCTACAGCACAAAGAGTCCCCTGATCACCTTAAACCAGTTTTTTTTGCCCAGTTCCACTTCTAAGCAAAACCAACACATAAAGCCAAGTGCTTTGCAAATTTCTGAGTGCTGATGCAGTACTCCTTCTCTCATCAAAATATCCCATGGGGTTCAGAAATTCTCGCCGTGTTCAACCAGATCCCTGCCTCTGCCCACCCGATGAAGGAAATGCAATGGGTATTTCAGCAGCAAATGAATCAGTAGATTCAAACCCTTAAGGGCAAAGGCTTTATAAAGAGCTGGAACATTAAAAATCACTTCATCTCAAAACGTAACATTTTTAGTAGCTTTTAGATAAACACATCTAGTGCATAGCGGGATTCATGTTGCTGTCATCAAACAGAGCTTTCAAAACATAACAAGCCCAGTGGATCAGATGTGCCTTTGAAATCTGAAGAATAAGACAAGTTTTCAGGTTTTATAAACCAAAATATGATATATTAGGAAAACTATTAGATTACCCATCCCTGAAGGATTTGTATGATAGTTTGTCATTTCATTTCAAGTTTCTTAGGAAAAACATCAGTCTAAGGGTTTGTGACACGACTGGAACACACGGCGATGAAATTACTGCTCTCTCCTGCCTCGTGTAACAGTCAGCTCTTCTGTCTCATCTTTTTCACATCAAACCTGTCTGAAAAGGGTGTAGGAGCAAGAGATCTTTTGATTGGAAAAGCTGATACTGCATCTTTATCAGAAACCAGCACCACGAATGCAAGCCTTCAAAAGCCAAAGCAACCAAGAACGATAATGGTAAATCCTGGCGGGATGATCAGGGAGAGATTGGACATTGTGCCATTGATTGAGTGGTGATCCCAACCCACCACAGAAAAGCAGTGAAGTCAGTTTTAAACAGAGTAATAAAACTCACACTGTGACGGTAGAAGGGGTCAACTTTTGTAGGGTATTTGTCAAACTGCAAAGGGATCAAAGCACAAACTAGTTACGTTATATTTCCTTGCTTTAGTTCTGCTGGCAAAATAGAAGACTACTTCACTATTGCTTGGCAACCAACAGAGAGGGAAAAAATACGCAGGAAATATACTTTCCAATGAAAACTGTTTGGGATTTCTCTTTCTTCAAGGTAAAGCAAGGTCTTTAGGAGACAGCAAAAAGGGGGAGGCACCGGAGCGCACCACTCCAAGCACTGGGAAGTCCCACGTGCGGGTGCCCCTCCAGCCTCGTCCCTCAACCTCCTGCACCAGTGACCACAGGAAGGGACAGTCCTTCCTCTCCTGCCCAAGGGCACCTGGGCAGCAGAGTCCTCCTTCCCCGCCACCTGGCAAATTCTCGACATTTTTGTAATAAAGAATAGAGTTGTGCTCTACTTATCCTCACATTTCTGCCTGGGGTACGCACCATGGGCGGTGCTGGCGTCGGCATGATGGCAGTGGGAGGGATGGCGTGGGGGAAAGGCGTGAAGGTGTGCTGGTGTGTGTGTTGGTGTGTGTGCTGGTGCTGGTGCTGGTGCTGGTGGAACTCGGTCCTCAGGTAGGGCGGCGGGCCCAGGGAGGCCCCGCGATCGGCGCTCTGCGAGGCCAAAAACCGCGTGTTTAGCTCCTGGCGGAGGAGATCTTGTTCTGAAATACAAAAGCAAAACAACAACCCCCACCGTGAGCTCAGGGACTTTTACAGACCTTCTGCCACTGACTTTTTGCTGGTTGTGGTAGCAACGCTGCATTTAAAACTCCCTGGTGTTTAAGACTCCCCCACATAGAATCATAGAATCATCTAGGTTGGAAGGGACCTTAAAGATCATCTAGTCCAACCATCAATCTAACTCTGACCAAAAAAAAAAAAAGAAATAAGCAAAAAAAAAAATAAAAATCACTAAACCATATTCTTGAGGACCATGTCAAACCGTCTTTTGAACACCTCCAGGGATGGTGCCCCAACTGCCTCCCTGGGCAGCCCATTCCAATGCTGGATAACCCTTTCCATGAAGAAATTTTTCCTAATATCCAATCTAAACCTCCCCTGGCACAACTTGAGGCCATGTCCACTTGTCCTATCTCCTGTGACTTGGGAGACACGACACTATACAGGGTGAGAAAGATCCCTTGGAGACAGAAGAAAGACTCCATTCCCCCTCCCTGACCAAGCCTGTCTTCACCACAGCGTTCCTCTGAGCATTAACCCAAGACTTGTCCCTAAATTTGTATGGACATGGACACAGTCCTAAATAGGTTAGGAGTACGGGGAACCTGGAGCGAGTGAACATGGAGTGGCTGCTAAACAGACACAAAATGATGTTACTTGGACACTGATAATCCTCCATTTTCTTCCCCCAGCGACCTGGGAGGAACAGACACATTCCATCTCCCCACAGTCAAAGTATAAAAGAGCATAATTTTCTCCAGCCATAAAAATCTCTGCATCTCATCCCCATATGCACCGAGAATCTTGCACAGTCCCAACCTCCCCTCCAGCCACAGGGGCCACCGCTGAGGGGGTCACGGATTCCGGGTGGGATCACAGAATCACAGAATTGTCAGAGCTGGAAGGGACCTCTAGAGATCATCCAGTCCAACCCCCCTGCCAAAGCAGGGTTGCCCAGAGCACATCATTCAGGAGCATCCAGGAGGGACTTGAAGATCTCCAGAGAAGGGGACTCCACACCCTCCCTGGGCAGCCTCTGCCAGGGCTCTGCCACCCTCACCCCAAAGAAGTTCTTCCTCAGATTTGAGTGGAACTTCCCATGTTCCAGCTTGTGCCCGTTGCCCCTCGTCCTGTCACTGGGAACCACTGAAAAAAGTTCAGCTCCATCCTCCTTCAACCCACCTTTTAGAGACTTGTCATCATTAATAAGGTCTCCCCTCAGCCTTCTCTTCTCCAGGCTAAAGAGTCCCAGCTCTCTCAGTCTTTCTTCCTAAGGGAGATGCTCCAATCCCTTCATCATCTCTGTTGTCCTACGCTGGACTCTCTCCAGCAGTTCCCTGTCTCTCTTGAACTGGGGAGCCCAGAAATGGACGCAGGATTCCAGTTGTGGCCTCCCCAGTGCAGAGCAGAGGGGGAGAATGACCTCCCTCGACCTACTGTCCACACTCTTCCCTACGCAGCCCAGGATCCCATTGGCCTCTTGGCCACAAGGTCCCATTGCTGGCTTATGGAAGGTTTGCTGGCCTTGACATCACTCCAAATCGTTCAGCAACGAGCACCAACCAACAGCCCTCATCGAATGGCCCCAAAAAGAATTATTCTGACTAAAACAGAAGAATCTGCTGGGACCTTGACCCACCAGCCTCTTACCTGAGTAAGTGCTACCAGCTGGGTGTCCTGGAACCTGCAGCGTCCCCGACGTCAATGGAGGAGGAGGAGGCAAAGCCGTAGGAGGGGCAAACATATTGGGGTGATGTGGGTGCGCGGGGGGCTGGAGGGCGGGCGTGAAGGTGTGCAGGGGGCTGTGGCTGGGGAGGGAGAGGGGAAACGGCGAGGCCGAAGGGTGGTGGGAGATGTGCGGAGGAGGGGCCTGAGTCTTGGCAGGAGTGCTGCTTCTGCTGCTGCTGTTAACGAGAAGAAAAGCAATTAAGCGTTGCACAGGAGAGAGAAAAGCTCCAAACACACACAACCCACCAAGCGAGGCTCATCTTAAACCCAGTGTAAGTTATATATTACAAACACAGTTACTACTCTACTTTTGCAGCAATGCCACCATGATACTCCTTTTTCCAACCATCTGCTGTGCTTTTTCTAGGGTCTTCTACTTCCTGTGGTCTCTCCACACCAAACCCCCAGACATATTCCCCCTCTCTGGAAGAGGCTGATATTCCGCCCTCCGACAACACGGGAATGACACACAAAGGAGTAATCAGCCCTGTGCATTCATTACTTAATTATCAGGCCCTTTCTACATGACTGCTTCTGATTCATGTTTTCAGGCAAATGAAGCTCAAAATCAGTGATCGCTGCATTAATAAAAGTTTAATATTTTTTTTTGCTATGACTTAGTAAGATGAAAGACTGCAGAAAATGTGAAATGAAGTCGAGAAGGCAACAACAGATACATGCTTATTGTAGAGTTAATGCCTCTCTCTGCCCCCACAGTATAGAGAAGACAAGTCAGCAAAATAAATATTTGCAATTACATTGGTTGCAATTTTCCAGGTTCCATTTCTTACTAATGAGTATTTAAAATACAGTCACGTAGTGCTTTACTTCTACCTGCCATTATTTCAAGTAACGACATGCTTCTCTTGCAGTCACTTTTAAAGACAAGCAATACCAACTTGGTTAAAAATAAATCAGAGTCTTAAACACCTCCAGTCTTTAGTCAAACCCTGAAGCAACCACAGTGCTGGTTCACCAGGTCGTGGAGGATACCCTCTGTCTGCTGGAAGCTTGGATTTGGGGAAAGATGCCCTCGTGCTGACAGCATCAGCTCAGAGGAGGGAAAGCCTGAGGTCCCTGACCCACAGAGAGATCACGGGCTCCTCTGAACATGCTGTTTAATCTCTCTGTTCATCTTTGTTATCCCCCTGTAAAAGGTGAGGTTTATCTTGCTGTGGCCAGGTGAAAAGAAAAACACTGAAGACTGTGAGATGTCAGCGGTGCAGGGAAAAATTAAGCTTTAAAATCACTGATGCAAGACAGTTTGTGCCAGGCTGCCAGCAGGGCCAGCAGCAGCTGGACTGTACCTCTGGCTCCAGGGCATGTCAGGGGTTGGAGAAATGGGGAGACGTTTACAGGGATGGGAGGGTAAAAGAAGCGAGGCCTCAGAGAGCAGCCCAAACTGCAAGAGCTGGGATTTTTCTTTCCCTGGTCTATATGGCATAAAATCCCCTCCAAAAACCCAAGTACACGATGACAGGTGGGAAAAGTGAAAGCAAATTAACCAAGCGCTCGAGAATACCCAGCATTTCTGGGAACGCTCCATCACTATATGGCATAAAATCCCCTCCAAAAACCCAAGTACACGATGACAGGTGGGAAAAGTGAAAGCAAATTAACCAAGCGCTCGAGAATACCCAGCATTTCTGGGAACGCTCCATCAGAAATAAAGTGATCCTGGCTCATTTCAGGCAGGGAATTACGCTTAAATGCACTGAGTCCCCTTTATTTCGGGACGGGACGTGCTGTCACATTAGCTAATTCAGAATTCAGCTAATTCACCTCCACTGCCTCCGGGCACCGCAAAGCATCACCACCGGGCAGCGGGTGTGCAAAGAGAGGGGGAGCAGGGCACAGGCCACCGGTTGTCCTACCTTAAGCTGTTGAGGCTCAAACTGCTGCTGTTGTAGGCGGAGAGCGGCTGTGAGAGGCTCTGGGAGGCGGGATGGGGCTGCACCGGCGGGAGGCTGGGATGCGCCGGCTGCACCGGCGAGGGAGGCCGCGGCGGGTGCTGGACGGGCGGCTGCGGCGC